ATCCAGGACCAGGTAAAACAGACATGCAGATTACAGAAGGGCAGGCACATGCTGTCTCAGATCAGCTAAAGGAGAGTAAAAGGAAAGAAATCATATTTATTTTTAAAAATGATTCCACAGGTCCCTAGGGAAAACAATTTCCATGTGAAGCCACTACAGGTAAGCACCACTGAAAGCACTCTACCACTTGGGGTGATGATGGTGGACTAGCAACATCCTTACGGCCAATTGGCACAAGCTGGAATAGGTTCCCTCTGTGTGTGTGTGTGTGTGTGTGTGTGTGTGTGTGTGAGAGAGAGAGAGAGAGAGAGAGAGAGAGAGAGAGAGAGAGAGAGAGAGAGAGAGAGAGTTTGGTGCAGTGGCTAGCATGTGGCTTTGTTTTTGCTAAGCTGGAAAGGCCCTGGCCTGCAGCTGGATGGGCAACCACATATGGATGCTGACTGCTGTGCATCATTCACACAAATGGGGCTGGTAAGTGCAACTTGGCACAGCCTGGAATACACACTATGGGTACAAGACAACTTGGTGCTGGCCAAAAGATGGAAGTCAGCAAATATGCCCAGCTCAATGGCTCACATTGGCAAATACAAAACCCCACAGGAGAAAACCCTCTACAGGGCGTCTCTGGACTCAGTTTCACAACATAGGTTTGCCTTCTAACCACCCATGGGACCTATAGAGTTAGCCAGAAGGCTTTCGTGGCTTTCCCTACAGAAGGATAGGGCACTGGATACCGTGTCCCCAATCTCTGAATTACTACAGAATTCCCCAAGGGCGCTTGCCCAACTGCAGAGAAGTAGTTCAAACAGTGGTGGAAGACATTGTCAAAAAAGGGGGGTAGGGTATTCATTTCTCTGTGCCATCCTTCCACCAGTTGGGGTTTTCTCAAATCACCCTGACATTCGAGTGCTAGCATCTGTATTCAATGTTTTTAGTGAAACAGCTGATGCATTTCAGACATGCAACACTCAACCACAGAAACTTGCCATACAAAGTTGTTAGGCATTGCATTGCTGGCAAGCCAGGACAGGGTTTGCAACACTTGCAGAAGACAAACCTGTTTCTTTAGAGCATCACTTTTAAAAGCTCAATGCTTTATAATTTGCTTTCCACTCTGGTAAAAGTGGCTTGATTGTTTTCTTGCTTCTCCAACTGAGGCTGTTACTGGCAGGGCTTGCCAGCAATTATTCTAGTCTTTCTCAGACGTGCACAGGTAGGCATGCCACGAACAGAGCTGGCTGGAGCCGGGGGTCAGACTGGTTGCCCCGGGAGGTCCCTTCTGACTCGCTCTGCTTCTGTGTTTCTCCGCTCAAATGGCCCTCACCTGCACAGGCCGTCTGCACCTCCAGGGCAACGCTGCAAAGGCCTGGCAGCCTCTCTCCCCCATCAGGGGAATCTCTTGCTGGAAGCTTTTGCCAGTCGCGGCGCCCCAAGACACCTCAAGACGGGTTGGCCAGAGGAGGCCACCTAGTAAAAGCACCACGGTTATACCCATGCACTGCTGGGATAACATTTTTGGTCAGGCACCGTGGAAAGAGATGCTGTTGCCATGAGTGGTGTGGTGGCCATCCTTATGCTGCCTTGCAGTATTCAGTCAGTTACACGGCGTGCTCACACGATGGCAGCCCCTGTGGACGAAGCACCTGGAGGGGGCGGCCTTCAGTGGGCCGCGCCGTGGCTTTACCTGACTGCGTGGCTCCGATGCAGGCAGAGTCACGTTACACTTAGCAGTTTGGCGGGATGGAGAAACGGGGGGAAAGCTGCACTCAGAAAAACAGATTTTGCCATCCTGCCCCCCTGCCTTGCCATAAACACATCAAAAGACACCTCGGTGTCCGGTGGTGAAGACCAAATGGCCCCACTCCATTAGTGGGGAACCGTCAAAGTGCCATCGCTGTGTTTTACAGGCTTGCCAAAGTGCCTCCCTAACCCTGTACAGTCACACACGTAACCTTTCTGTTTACCTAACTTGGCCAGCCTGTTCAAGGTAACTTTAAATTAGAAGGCCTGTCAAAGGCATCTAATTAGAGTGGAATGTAACTTTTCTTTATGGCGCTGTGACGTGTATGCAGTCGCTTTCCTATCCAAATCGCCCTCCTGAGTATTGTATTCCCTCCCCTTTTGCGCATTCTGTGTAACCCCAAGGGAACTAGCACTGGGTCTCTGTCTTCGGCACCCGTGGATCCATGCGTTGAATTGTGAATAAACCTCATCGCCCTTGCAGGAAACTGACCATCTGAGCCTGAATTGCGGATTTCGGTGTGATGGGAATTACAGAATCACAGAGTTCAAAGGGTTGGGGTTGGCCTGGAAACTTCTGCCCCCCCCCCCGCCCCGCCCCGCCCCGCCCCGCCCAGGCCAAGAATCTTTTCCACATGCCCTTCTTTCTAGGGGAAATAGTCCTCGGTGGTGGATTTTTTTGACATTGTTTTAGCGGAAATAGCCGTTTGCACATCTTTTTACAATGGGTGACTGCACACAACATGACACAACATAGACAGGGCTCAGTGTAGGCTGGGCATGGGCTGAGTTGTTGCCAAAATGTGGGTTCTTGCATTGTGTGAACCCAACTGAACTAGCAAACCGTGGTTTGTCGATCACAAACAAGCCACGGTTCCTAACCCAGCAATGAGTTAGTTCTCTTTGTGGGTTCACACAGTCCAAGAACCTCACTTAACCCGCTCTCAACCTTGAGTGTGAGTTGGCTTGTCGAGTGGACCCAGCCACAGTTTCCGTGGAAAGCTAGGAATGAGGCATTCATCTGGGCGACCCCCAAGCCCTGCACTACAGCCCCCAGAAGACGTGGTAGCAAGGGAGGCCGATGGAGGCACGCCGCCTCCCCAGGTTGGATGCCGAGCCGGAGGCCCGCCTCCTCTCCACCTTTGTCTCCGAGATTGGGCATGAAGCAGGGGCGTGATCGCGCAGGGCGCGCGGCTCGGCCGCCCCTGGGCTTCCGCGGCGGCGGCGGCGGCGGCTGCTTCGCCGAGCCGAGCCTGGGCTTGGGCTTGGGCTTGGGCTTGGGCTTGGGCGGGCGCCGCTCGGCGCGGCCCTTCGGCGAGACTGCGCCGACCTGCCCGGCAGCCACGAGGATCGCGGAGCGGACCCGGCGGCAGGGTGAGGGCGCCGAGCAGGGGCCGTGCCCGTCGGGCTGCCCTCGTGCTGGCGGGGCTGCGGCGGCGGCTGCGGCGGCGGCTGCTACCGGGAGCCGAAGGGGCACGGGGCGGCGCACTCCGCCCCCGCCGCGGGCCCGCCGGGGCTCCCGGGCACCTCCCGCGGCCGCTGCTGCCTGGCAGGCGCTGGGCGGCGGCGGACGCGCTCCCAGGATTGCCCGGCGCGGGCGCGGCCGACGGGATGCCCGGGAATCCCTCCCTGGCGCCGGCGCTCGGCGCCCCTCGGGGTCTCGCGAGCCTCGCGGAGTGGGGGGCTCGCCCAGGATCCCTCTCCGGGCTCACAACGCGGGGGGTCGCGTGCCCCGGGGGGCGCCCGCCCGCCGCCAGTGGGTACCACAGTTTTGCATGTGGGACGGGTGACGTCAGCAGCCTCGCCATCGCTGCATCCCTCACGCCTGCCTCGCTGTTGCCATGGCAACCCGTTCCCGGGGCAGCGGCGGTGTCTTTGGAGGTGGAGGAAGGCGCTCCTGTGGTGGGGGCGCACGCGGGGGTCCTCCAGGAGTCCAGCCGTGGGTGGGGCGCAGCGGGTCCCCTTTTGCAAGGGCAGCGCCAGGGAGAGGTGTGGGGGGGGGGGCGATCGCTCCCCAACTGCTGGCATGGTGCTGGTGCCGCGTTGTGTGTGCAAAGGATGGGTGTGAGTGAGTGTGCCTGCGACTCTCTCCGTGTCGTGCTGTGTTGCCCACTCTGCTGGCTTGGGGGATCTCCACGCCCTGGCTGCGCTCCCGTTGCAGCTGCCCTCATCATGCACAGCGGGAAGCAGTCCGTGTGCTCCCTGCCACTGGACAGGTCTGCCTCTGGCGCTCACACAGCTGCTGCCAGACACGGCCAGGCGCTGCTGTTCGGAAAGTGCCCCTGGCTGGGAAGATCTTGAGCTGCTGGCTGCTCCTGCGGGACCAGCGGGGATACAGGAGGCAGAGCAAGGGCCGGCTGGGGACTTTTGTGGTATGCATGCATTTGGATGGAAGCGTCTGCGAGGCCCCTGACCGCACTCCCAGTTTTGCCTCTGCTGTGCAGCACGGCAGAAGACACAGCCAGGGCTCAGGGAGGCAAGAGGCACCATCTGTGGGGCAAAGCCTGGAGTTCCAGGCCGAAAAGCAGGCCGCTCTTCCTGCGTGCCAGCCAGGGAAGGCTGAGCTCTGGGGCATGTCAAGGGCAGTCACTCAGGCCACCGCAGCTTCTCAGTTGCAGTAGTTGTGAGGAGCAAAGAGCTGGCTGGGGTGTTGCTTTGCTTTCCATGAGTCGGAAGGAGGTTGCCAGGCCAGCAGTGTGGGGCAGGCGCCTGGGCTCTTGAGGCCCTTACTGGGGTGTGCATGTAAGGAGATCAAAGAGAAACGGGGCGCTTTTCATCGGTCGTGAGTCTGTGACTGACTTGCTCCTTTCCCAACAGGTGGCTGCGATCCTCAAGTGACTGGGTGAAGGCATAACATGGCGAGTAAGTGATTCCCCCACCTGGTCCCGACCTTTTAGGAGCAAGTTTCTTGCCCTTCCAGGGGGCAGAAGAAAAAGGATTCTAAGGCGGGCTGAGGATGAAGCAGGAGCCTCTGGCAAATGGCCACCAAGGCTCCCTAAATTTCAGAACTCAGCAGTTTGTGGGCAGGAAAGGCAGGCTCTTGAAGCAGGTCGGTGGCCAGCCAGAAACAGATGCAACTGAGAACGTAAGAAGATGAATCGATGCTATAAATCAGTCACACTTTGTTGACTGGGCTTGAGCTGAGAAGGCACGCCCCTTTCCCCCTATGTGTAAACTTGGGGATGGCTTATTAAGGCTGACATGGTGGGCTTAACTGCGAGGTGTGGTGGGTGGGCCTGGAATTGGGCAGAGAGGAGATCATGGAGAGCAGGCCCGGGAGACAGAGGGGCTCCACAGGCCTCTGCTGGGGCAGCCCAGCTCTGCGCCGGCCTCTGTGGGGAGGCCTGTCGGTAGCCGCGTGTTCCTGTGTTCCAGCCTTCCTGGCCGCCCAGAAGGCCCACGCGGTGCTGAAGCGCTTCCCTCGAGCCAATGGCTTCCTGGAGGAATTCCGGCAGGGCACCATCGAGCAGGAGTGTGTGGAGGAGATTTGCAGCTACGAGGAGGTCAAGGAGGTGTTTGAGAATAAGGAGAAGACGGTAGGTGGCATTCCCGGGCAGCGGCAGCAGGCAAGGAGGAAGCGAGCACAGCATGCCTCCCCCGCCCCAAAATCAGGCCTGCCGTGGCCGACCCTTCCCCCCGGGCCTCTGCAGTGGCCGTGCCCAGGCAGCGGTGCGGCCCCTTCACTGGGCGAGCAAAGCGGCAGCCTGGCAGCGAGAGGCCGGCCGAGGCTCCGTTCCAGGGCTCCTCGTTGTGTGTGTGGAGCCACATGGTTCACTCTCCCCACTTCTGCTATGGGCCCAGTACGGACCAGGTGCTGGGCGGAAATAGAAAGGTGGCTCCATTGCCCGCATGATGCGGAAGGAGGAGGGAGCAGTTAGGGAGAAGCTGAAGATTTGCAGAAGCTAGGAAAGACAGAAGGAAGGAAGGAGGGAAGGAAGGAAAGACGGATGGACGGAAGGACAGACAGACAGATAGATCACTGGAATTCCCAGAGGACTGGTAAGAAAAAGGAGCTGACACCAAGACGGAAAGGCCAGGAGGGGCTGTTTTTAGCTGTGGGGGAAAGGCAGGCCGCCTGGTTTTTTGTTTGGCGATTTGGCTTCTTGCTGCTGCTTTTCAGTGGGGAGGGGTTTGGGTGGCATACTTGTTCGCTTGGCCGAGGTGACGCCACCGTTTCTGGCCTAGGGGCACCTCGGGGAGCAGCTGCAGCTGCACGGGCTTGGCTGAGAGCTTTGCCTCGCTTGGCCATTTGCGGCAGCCCCCGGTGCCCCGTCCCTCCCGGCCGGAAGGGCTGTGGCCCTGCGGAGAGGGGGGCAGTCCTGGCTGACGGTTCTTCTCTTCCACCCGCAGATGGAGTTCTGGAAGGGCTACGCCTACTCCGTCAAGGACCCGGCCGACAGCACGGGCCGCTCTGACGCCATGTACATGGTGGTGCCACTGCTGGGCGTGGCACTGCTGGTCATCATCGCCCTGTTCATCATCTGGCGGTGCCAGCTGCAGAAGGCCACGCGGCACCGGCCCTCCTACGGCCAGAGCCGCTACCTGGCCAGCAGGGCCGGCTGCAGCCTGTCCCGCGTGATGGTGTGCCACGAGGCCTCGCCCAGCCGGGCCGAGGCTCCCTGCCGGCGGGACTCTGGCAGCAGAGGGGCCCGGGGGGGCCGGGGGGGCCCGGGGCCCGCGGGCCAGGTGGACTGGGCCCTCTGTCCCTCCGAGCATGCTGCCTTGGCCCTGTCCAGGCTGTCCAGCGCCACCCCGCCCCCATCCTATGAGGAGGTGACGGGGCACTCTGACTGCGGCAGCAGCAGTGGGGAAGAGGCCACCGTCTCCTACAGCGACTCGCCGCCCGTGTATGAGGAGATTGCGGCTGCGGCGGCCGCCCCCGCGAAGTAGCTGTCTGGTGCTGCTGCCCACTTTCCTCTTGGCCAGCCAAGGCCACCACAGAGAAGCCTTATTTTCCACGCTCACCAACATCCTGAGAACCGCTGTGGATGCCGCTCCCGCCACCTGCTGGGAGGCTGCGGGGCCACCCAGGCACCGGCACTGGGAGCTGGCGCTCTCCTCCCATGGGGCGATGCAGCCGGCCCGGGCAGATTGGGCCTGGGGGCACCCCTGGCCTCCCTCCCTGGGACGCCTGTGGGAAGCAGGGGGTGCAGCTCTGCTGGGCAGGAGGGGGCGCCTCTGCCCATGCGATGAGCAACCTCAGTGGCTGGGGCTTCCTGGGTGTGTCCTCCAGGAGGGCTGATTGCCAGACGTCAGACCTGCTCTGGCTGAGAGCCCAGGGTGCTCCGGTGGAGCTGGAAGCCCGGGCCTCCCTGGAGGGTCTGACCTGGCAGGAAGGGAGTGGGCTGCCACCTGCAGCAGCATGAGGCCGTCTGTTCCCTGCCCGCCTGCTGCTGCAGGTGCCATCCAAGCCCCCTTTCCTCCAGTGCTCTCCACAAGCAGGCAGGAAAGACCTCCTTCCCTTGCTGTGCCTATGGAAGCCCCCTGTAAGGCTCCCCAGCAGGGGTGCCCATCCCTCCCCAAAAAGCTGCCATTTGCCTGGAAGCAGCCCCAGGGGAGACAGAAGCTCCCCCCAGAAACCTTTGCCCTGCCCTGCCGGTGGCTGAGCCGTCCATTGAGCGAAGCCGCCCTGGGAGGTCGTGGGACCTTGACGGCATCGGCTCTTCTCTGCCTCAGTTGGTCTGCTGGATGGGCCCATTCCCCTTTCTGCCTTGCTGTTTGGGAAGGACGTCTTGTCCTTCCCGCCACTGTTCTGCCTAGAAGTCCCTGCATGTTCCGGGTCTCGCCTGCAGGGCCCCTGGCACTTCTGCTCCCTGCGCTGAGGCGGCTGCGGAAGGGAGCTGGCAGAGAGGCCTGGAGGCCCCTGCGGCTCGCCTGCCCCATGGGCAGCCTTCCCCTTTGCTCCCGAGCAGACTGGCTTCTCTGGCGAAGGGGCTCTTGCCTGGGCTGCAGCTGGGCCCCCACCCCGCCTCCCACTGCGTGCAGAGTGCCCCCTGCAGCCTCCTAGCTGAGGGGAAGATCGCCACACCTGCCTCCTCTTGTCGGCTGCGACGTGCCGCCTTGGCGCGCTCTGGGCATGCCCCCGCGGTCGCTGGCCTCGTTCCGAGAATGCGGGGCCGGAGCCTCGCGACCGTGGCCCAGCGGGCGGATGATTCTTTCCGGCCCGCAGATGAGGCGCCTTTGCCCCAGGCAGGGCCTCTGCAGGCAGGAGCTGCCGCTGCAGATTTGGTGCAATCGAGGGCTCACCCCGGACCCCCCCCATCCGCACAGCGTGTGCCCCCGGTGTCTCACTGGTGCTTCAGCAGAGCCAGGCACCCTCTGTGTGTATGTGCGCGCCGCTTTACCGCATCGCTACATTTTGTTGAAACCAAAAGAGACGGCGTGTAACACGGGGGGGGGGGGTATGGGGGCAGTGCACAAAACTAGCACAAAGAAATCACTGAATAAAGAAGCAGGGGAGGAAGGGGAAAGACCGAGGAAATCCCCCCCCCCCCCCCCGCCCCGAGGAGTCACCCAGACTCCTGCACAGAGCTCCTGAGGACAGCCGCTTGGTCTGCAGGCACTGAGGATGGGGCGTGAGCATGCCTGATGCCGGGCGCCGGTGAGAAAGGGGGTTTCCAGCCATTCTTCTAGCGGGCTGCATCAGATACGCTCTCGAGGCTCCATGTAGTTCTCCTCCAGTCTGTTTCAGGGCACACCGGTGCCTCAATATCCACCTCCAGGTTACTTTTGTTTCTTTCCTTTTGGGCAGAACAGCAGCAGATGAGAACAACCAAAGACAGCAGTTTGTGCTCTCTCCATTCTTCCAAAGCTTCTCCCAAATCCAAACATGAGACCAGTCTAGCCAGTCTAGCAGTGGGATTAATCCTAGATCTCCCCAGTATTTGAGCTGGGAGGGTGGGCGAGGGTGGGCCCTCTCCCCATGGAAGAGGTTGGGCTGGTTTGACTGTAAATGTGAATTGTGCCGTCTAATGTTCTGTGCTGATCTTGCTCCACTTTTTGAGGTTTACCAAGCCCCCTGCTGTCCTGTGGGGCACAGTTCTAAGACATTTTTGACGGGAAGTCCGTCGACATGATCCCGGTGAGCCTCTCATGAAGGCACCACAGACATGGGGCAGTGCTGGGGAGAGGCTTTCTCCGGCTGGGAGATGCTCACGGAGCTGCTCCGCCCCACTGGCTCCAAATGGGATGCCACGGTCCCCAGATGCGCAGCCCAGTCTGTCAGTGATGGCTCTGCTCCGCTGGGCCTCAGCTTTTGCTCCTCCTGACAGATCCACCGTGTTTTGCAGCAGGATAGCTGCCCAGAGCGCCTGCGGGCATTAATCACCCTCCATGCTGGCCCGGGGGCCAGTAAGAGGAAGCAAACAGCTCCCTTCCCCTTCCAGTGGGCCCCAGCCCACTGACCTCCCAAATGCCCGCTGGCCCCTGCTGTTCCTTTCCCATAGCCCCCTCAGCTGCACCCTTCCAGCTCCAGCCCCTTCGCTGTGGCCGCTGCACTCTGGCCTTTCCTCCTGTGTTTCTGCCCTCCCCTTTCATCCCCACTGCCTCCTTGCTACCTGACTAGGCCTTGACTGTAGCAAGGTGAGCAATGAACGGCTCACCCAAAAACTGGTGCAGAAAGGCCTTCAGGTCTTCAGTTTTCATGCTCCCCCCATTGTTTCTATTCTGTACAATCTGGTCTGTTTCTGTGAAAAACACATTTTATTAAAAAAAAACACAAGACACTCTCAGATATGTCCAGGGTAGCTTTAATCGCTGTTGATTTTCTTAAGCAAGGAAAAGGGGTGGCCAAACTCTTCATTCCTTGGCATGACTTTTATTCAGCCCAAGTTAATTCTAGTTATCCAGTCAAGTATTTGCCATTCTGCGGCAGGAGCTGGATTTTGGAAAGCCCCGTGCATTCAGCTGTGGGTCACATATGGAACGTTTCCTCCACGTTGCTGGTACTTTAGAAGCCCCCTGACCCAAACGGTTTCAGTGTGTCAGCTTCGCCTCGGGCGCAGGCTCTGCCCCATAGGCCGTCGCTCTGGAGGAGGTCCTTTGGGAGGCGCCCGGTTGCTGGCCCGAGCTGCGCCCCGGCCTAAATGGCGCATTTCGGCCTCGAAGCCCTGCGAGTGGCTTACAGAGGCGGCGGCCCCTTTCCCCGCGGCTTCGAAATGCCCTTTCGCGGCCCAGCGCGGGTTGCGCGCACAATCGCTCGGCGCAGCAACCCAGCCCGGCGAAGGGCGGGGCCCGGGAGCGCGGGCGGGGCAGCCGGCGGCCAATGGGGGCACAGGCGGCCCCGGTGACGTCACGGGCGGGAGCGGCTGGTGGCGGTTGACGGGTGCGTGCAGAAGCCCCGTTCGGGGGGGGGGCGCGCTCCGGGAGCGAGCGCCGCGAGCCCGCGCGTGCCGTGCGGGGGGGGGGGCGCGGTCCCCGGCGCCCGCTGCCCCGCCCGGCGCAGGCCCGGCTTTTGGGGGCGCTGCACCTGTCGGAGCAGGGCCGCCGCGCCGCTCCCGCCGTTTCCCGCACCGCCGGAGGCAGCGGCGCCCGACCCCGCCTCGGACCGAGGCCGCCGCCTGCTGCTGAGCCGCGTGGAGCCCGGCAGCGGGACGACCTCGGTTGCTCGCCGGCCGGCAAGGGACGCCCTTCCCCGGGTGTCTGCGGCGCCGAGAGGGACCGTGCCTCGGGAAGGGCCCAGTTCCGCGGGCGGGCGCCTTGCGGCAGCGCCGCCCCCTGCCCGCTGCCTGGCGGCTGCAAAACCGCGCTCCGCCGAGCTGTTTCGGGGCGCGTGGGATTTGGCGCAAGCCCAGGGCCCCCTGCCGAGCTTTAGCGCCATCTGTTGCTCACTGGGATGCTTTTAACAACCATTTGCAGATTTGTTTGCAGATGAAAATTCCTGGATAGGAGCCGAGCTTGATGCAATCGTGGAGGTCGAGACCGACACAGAGGTGTCCAGCAGCTCCATGAATCAGATTATCCTGGATCAATTTCAATTTGTAAGTCCTGATGGCGTTGACAGGCTGCTTGAGCTGGCCAGGAACACCACCCGCCCTTTCCATCCATGCCCTTGGCTGGGAGTCCGCGGGTGCAAGCTCGGCGCTATTACGGCTTAGCGGAATGTCCCCTTCGGAGAGGGCGGGGCCCTGCCTGCCTGAAGGGGGCTAAGAAACCTAATCTGAGCGCCCTAGACCTTAACTACTGCAGACCAGTCTCCAAGTTGCCCCTTCTCTGCAAGGTGATCTGGAAGGCAGTATCTCTCCCCCTCTAGGTGGTCCTGATTTTCTGGACCCATTTGAAACTGGCATCAGAGCAGGGCATGGAGCTGAGACTGTTCTGGCTGCCCAGGTGGGCAGTTTTCAACTCAGAATTGTCGGGGGAGTGTAAGGTCTGGGCCTGGGCGGCAGGCTTGGATGGGCAGAATGCTGGGACCAAGGCGCTGGTCCCAGGCAGGGCGTAGAGACGAGACTGGGGTGACAGTCAGGGCCGACAACAGTCCAGTGTTTCACAGAAGGGTAGCCCAGTTCATGAAAATAGTCCAGGAGTCGAGTCCTGGAAGGACAGCCTTGTTTGGGAGGAGGTGGGCCCGGGAGGAGGGGCAGCAGGGGAAACGGATGGGCAGGAGAGGCAGGAGAGAGGTTCAAGTCGCTGGCTGTGCCAGAGAGCAGCAGTGCCGAGAGGGCTTTTATGCTGCGGCTGCTCCCTGCAAATGTCTGCAAAGGCGTATTTGGTTCCGCAGACGCTGGCAGGGCTGGGCAGGTCCTGGCCCCAACAGGGCACGTGCCCCGTTGGTTCTCAGCAGCCTTTGATACTGCTGACCATAGTATCCTTCTGGACGGTCTGAGAAGGTTGGGAATTGGAGGCAGTGCTTTGCAGTGGTTAGGTCGGTTCCAGATGGAGACCATTGTTCTTCCAAAAAGGAGGGTACCTGCAGTGTTCCACAAGGATCCGGGCTCTTGCCAGTGGTGCTTGACATCCTCCGATGACACCCAGAGCGACTTCTCCTCATTATTATTTATTATTTCGATTTATATCCTGCCTTTTTCCTACAAAGGGCTCAAAGCAGCTTACATCTCCTCCTCCATCTTATCCCCACAACAGCCACCCTGTGAGGTAGGTTGGGCTGAGAGTCTGTGACTGGCCCAAAGTCACCCAGTTGGCTCCATGGCTGAGCAGGGACTCGAACCCAGATCATCTGAGTCCCAGTCCCAGGCTCTTAACCACTACACCACACTGGCTCTCATCAACTGCTGTGGCTTCTAGGGGTCCTGTCTCCTCTCTGCATGACTGCCTGGGGTTGGCGAAGGGCTGGATGAGGAAGAACAAACTGAAGCTGAATCCAGATGAAATGGAGGTGTTTCCTGTTAAGGTTCCAAATCCAGGATTAGAGGTGTGTCAGCCAGTTCCAGGGACTTAGGGGCACAGATTAGAGTCACCCCCCTAGGAGTCAAGGGGCTCCTCAGGGCATTGGACGTTACAAAGCCACCAGGCCCTGACGGGTTACACCCGAGGACTTCGAGAGTTGGCAGGGGTTCTCTCACGCCCGCTGGCCTCCATTTTTGAGGCCTCGTGGAGAACGGGTGAGGTTCCAGAGGACTGGAGGGTGGCGTCAGTGGTCCTAATTTTCAAACAGGGTAGTAGAAGGGACATGGGGAATTACAGACCGGTTAGCCTCACGTCCATTGTAGGAAAAACAATGGAAAGGCTCATTATAGGGAGAGATCTAGCGGTGCTAGATAGGGAAGGGAGGCTGGCAGCCACACAACACGGCTTCCGCAAAAACAGGACCTGCCAGACAAACCTTGTGGGATTCTATGACAAGGTTTCGAGATGGCTAGATGGAGGGGATGCAGTGGATGTGGTTTACCTGAATTTCAGCAAGGCCTTTGACAAAGTGCCCCATGGTATCCCGGTTGAGAAATTGAGGAGTTTTGGGATAGACCAATGCACTGTCCGGTGGATTAGGGCATGGTTGGCTGACGGAAAGCAGAGGGTAACCATTAGTGGAGAATCATTGGGATGGCGGTCAGTGACAAGCGGGGTCCCCCAGGGCTTTGTCCTGAGGCCAATCCTGTTTAATCTTTTCCTCAATGACATGGAAGAAGGGGTGAACAGTCTGCTGATCAAATTCGCAGACGATACTAAAACCGGGGCAGTGGCCACAACTGAGGAGCAGGTACTCTAGATCCAAAAGGATCTGGACAGACTATGGAAGTGGGCAGGAGACAACAGGATGGCGTTCAATGTGGAAAAGTGCAAAGTCTTGCATTTGGGGCACAGGAATGGGGGTCATAAAGACAGGTTAGGTGACAAGTGGCTGGAGAGCAGCACTTGTGAAAGGGACCTCGGGGTGCTGGTTGACTGCAGGCTAAACATGAGTCAGTGGTGTGATGCGGTGGTCAAGAGGGCGAATGCCACCCGTGGTTGCATAGCCAGAAGTGTGGCTTCTAGATTGAGGGAGGTATTACTACCACTCTGTATGACTCTGGTGCACCCGCAACTGGAGTATTGTGCTCAGTTTTGGGCCCCTCATTACAGAAAGGATATAGCTAGGTTAGAGTCAGTGCAGTGTAGGGCCACAAGGTTGGTGGCTGGTTTGCAGGGGAAGCTGTATGAAGCGAGACTGAGGGAGGTGGGTCTTTTCATCCTTGAGAAGAGGAGACTCAGACGGGATCTTTTGGTATCATATAGGGCTGTGAGGGGTGTCGCACGGAGGTGGGTAGAGACCTGTTCTCCCCTGCAGAGAAGGGCAGGACATGCTCCAACAGAGCCAAGCTCAAGGAACCAAGGTTCCATTTGGATGCCAGGAAGCACTTCCTGACAGTCAGGACCCCAAGGGCATGGAAGGGGCTTCCATGGGAGGTGGTGGCCCCATTGGTGAGGGTGTTCAAGCACAGGCTGGACATGCACATGGTGGGCATGTCGTGAGCGGAGCTGGCTGGAGCTGGGGGTCAGACTAGATGGCCCGGGAGGCCCCTTCTGACTTGCTCTGTTTCTTTGTTCCAGTGGGGGTCACACTTCTGCTGAAAAGCTGTGTTTGCACTTTGGGGGTGCTACTTGACCTGGCCCTTCAGACATTAAGCTCAGACAGAAGCTGTGGGCAAGAGTGCCTGCTGTCAGTTTCGGCTGATTTGTCCTTCGTGCCTCTTCCTGGAGGAGAATGGCCTGGAAACAGCCGTGCATGCGCTGGCAACTTCCAGGTGTAATTCCCACTGTGTGCTGCTTGGGGCTAGCGGAGTGCCTGCTCCAGAAGCCGCAGCTTGCCTCAATAGGGCAGCCAGGCTGGTCTCCGGGACATCATGGAGATGCTCACCTGTCTTGTACTGCCTGCCAGGGCATTTCCAGATACAGTCCAAGGTGCTGGCAATTACCTTTAAAGCCCTTCTTAGCTTATGTCCAAAATACTGTCAGGAGTGCCTTTGCCCATGCATTCCACCTCCCCGGCTGAGGTCCTCTGGGGATAATCTTCCGAAGCCTCCTTCCGTAGCTACTCAGAGCACGGTGTCAGTGTTGCCCCTGTGCTGAGGAATGGTCTGCCAGGGGAGATGCATCAGATTCCCAAAGTCCCACCTTTAAGAGGGAGTTAAAATCATATATTTTTCCAACAGGCTTTTCCAGATTAGTTCTCGGGTCTGCTTTATTTGATATGTTGTCCTTATCAATATTGCTCACTGTTGGTTTAATTTCTTGTAAACTGCCCAGAGCCTATGGGAATAGGGCAACATATAAATATTATGGTAAAACAAGCAATTACATCTCACCCTCCCCGGAGATCTCCAGGTGTCCATGAGCAACACATCCCAAGCCATGGCAGACTGATTCCGCCTTGCCAGCAAAGCCTGCTTCACCCAGTCCTGGCGGGCCATGTGCTTGCTGACAGCGCATCGCACAGCCGTCATTGCTTTCTGCACTGCGTGCCCATGACCCAAGTGCATGCGAGCATATTTCGTGTTCTGCTTGGGAAAAGTGCTGGACTCAAAGAGTGGTGCCCAGTCGGGGGATTTGGAAGTGCATGAGGGGAGACCACACGTTCTGCTTAAGAGGACGTGGGGAAGCTAAAAGGGAGAATTGCTCAGAAAAGGGCTTGAAAAACGGGGCAGCGGCATCCTACCTAGGCTACAAAGGGGCAGACACCTCTGCTCTTTGGCTCTCCCCCACTGCTTTTCAAAGCCTTTCCAGCTTTCTGAGATGCAGAGTTATTTTTCTTGTCACCCCAGTCTTTGTTTCCTGCCAGCCAGAGGATTGCCAAATCAGAATTTCTTTCTTGGTACACCCACCCTTCAGTTTTGATTAATCTGAAGGCCCTAAAATGTCACAAGTGAGTTAATTGGAGCAAAGAACGAATTGTGCCGCTTGAAGTTCGAGGCAGGCATTCATCGGCCAGGGACAGAGGCGTCCTGCTCCCTGCTCGGTCCCAGCCCACGTCCCACAGCTGCAGCTGCTGCTCCCCTGGGGGCTTGTGTCCCCCTCCACCCAGCTTTCTGTGGCCTGGTGAGGCCGCCCTGCCACAGTCTGGTGGCTTTGCTGGGCCAGGCTGCGTCCGGCCTGCAGACAGAGGCCGGGAGGGCCGTCCCTGGGCAGTGGGCGCCCGCGAGCCTTCGGGAGAGCAAAGGTGGGGGCTGGCGGTCGCAGAGCTTTCGCCAGGGGGCGCTCCAGTCCACTCGTCCCCAGTGGGGCTGAGGATCACCAGCGGCGAACTCCTGTGTTGCCAGGCTGGAGGGAGCCGGCCGTGGCCCCGGGGCTCCCCGCAGCGGCTGCCAGGCTCTTGCAGGGTCTGCTGAAGGGAGTCCCCGGGGAGCTGGTGGCAATGTGGGAGCAGCTGCAGACCCCGCACCATACTTTAAGGCACTGTGCATAGTCTGGGGCCCGGCCTCACCCAGGCTTAGCACCATGGACAGCCCCATGAACAGTGGCAGCTTTGCCGCTGCTGGAGCGTGCAGCTGTCCCAAGAGAAGCCCCTTTGGCCCATGGGGGCCGTCTGCCTTCAGATTGCAGAATGGTCTGCTTCCGCACAAAGTCTCAGCTGAAAACACACGAATCAAGCTGTGTTTGGTGGCAGAAATGACAGGGTGCCTCCACTTTCTGGCACCCACCTGTAATGCAGGCAGCCCTCGCAGGTGTGGCCACCTGGGGGCTCCTTGCAGGTTCCTAGTGCAGGGCAGCCTCGGGAGGGGTCCTCGTGCCCCTGCTGCTGCTGGTGTGTGGGCTGCTCTTGGGTGCTCCCCTTCCTTGCCGCTAGCTGCGTCCCACTCTTGGTGGCCTCTGATCTGCCCAGCAGAGGGCGCCAGGGGCCCTTGGTGCAGTGGTACCTCGGCTCACGAACTTCATCCGTTCCAGGACTCTGGTCGTGACCCAAACTGGTCGTGAGCCAAGTCCAATTTCCCCATAAGGTTCAATGTAAAGAAGGTTAATCTGTTCTGCAACTGTTTTTTTTACTCACAAAAATGAAGCGAAGTGACAAAGAACAACAAAGATCGCGGCCATCTCCCCCCAGCGATCGTGCAGGGCGGGGAGACAGGCGCAATTGCGGCTGCGCTGGGGGGGAGGCGGGTGCAGGCGCGCTTGTGCAGGGAGCATGGGCGCAATCACGGCCCTCTACCCCCCGCCCCCCAGCACAACTGTGATCGCATCCCTGCAGGGAAGGCGGGCGCGCTCACCACCCAATGCAGAGTTCGTGACCTACGGCAAAATTTTTATGAAATTTCTGCTCATGACCCGATTTGGTTGTGAACTGAGGCGTTCGTGAGCCGGGGTACCACTGGACCAGAATAATTTCCTGTGTCCTGCACAAAGACCCAGAAGATGTTCAGCCCCTTCCAGCGTCACTGGACCTGCAGCAGGGGCCCACGGGAGAGGATGCCTTGCAGGAGGGTGAGGAGGAGGGTCCTCAGTCAGTCCTTCCATTCCCCCAAGGAACAGAAAAGAGCTCAGGCACCATTTTGATTGCCGTCGTCCGCCATCTGGAGAACCATAGGAGAACCACTCTGCGTATCTGCTTCTTTTACCTGATGAACCAAGCAAAGGCTGATGGGTTTTGTGGCTTGCCTACCCAGCAGCCCCCCTCCCCACCCCCGCCAATGCTCTGACTCTTCTCGCTTGATCCTGTTCGACATGCGAGGCCTTGGCACATGTTGCCGTTTCAGAAGAAGGCCTTCTGAGGGCTTGGGAGTCTTTGCGCTCTGGCCTGACCGTCTGTTGGTCATGTGGACCAGGAAGGAAGGAAATGGCGGGAGGGGAACCCCAGCCCTGCCAGGCGACCTCCAGCAGGTTGAGAGAGCTCGGTCACGGGCCATGTTTCCATCCAGTGGAGTGGAGCGGAAGCATCAGCGGCCCCATCCTGGTCCCCGTGTGCCGTAGCCGCGCTCTGATGTGATGGCTGAACTGCATCTTCTTTGCTGAAGAAAGGTGGGGTGAAGACCATAAGGGCGAGTTGCCTCCCCAGCACACGCGCACACCTGAGGGAGAGCAAAATGATGATGGTGCCTTCTTTTCCCAGCAGAAAGGAAGAGGTGTTTTTCCCTGGCTCCTGCCACCACTGCTGCTGAGGCTTGGGGAGAGACGGCCATGTGGCCTGCAGGGCGCCCGCTGCTGGAGGAGGCCCCCTGCAGTGCGGACTTCACCGAGGCCATCGACAGGGGCATGCGAGTCCCCCAGCGGCTGAGGGCGGCAGAGGACTCTGGTGCGGGCGGCCCAGCGGAAAGGATGCTGGAGGACTTCTGCCCGTCCCTTCAGATGCACGTTCCTGACAGGCTGCTGCTGGCGGGTAAAGCGCCGTTCCCAGCATGGCTTGCGGGGTGTGATGGGCAGCTGAGTTCTCCACGCGGCATCAGGTTTTGGGGATGCTGCCTGCAGCAAGGTCTGGCAGCAGACACTCTTTCATCACCCCCAAAGTGTGGATGCAGAGGTGGCCGGCCCAGCACGGCTCTGGTTTCCTGTGGGCCGTGCGGGCGGGTGCCTCTCCAGCCGGAGGGTGCGCGCCCTCCATGTGGGCATGGCTGCCTCCACAGAGCTGCCCACACGAGGTGCGCAGCTGGGCCAGGTGGACTGCAAGGGAGCGGCACTGGGGCCCGGCGCTTTGCCGGGCTGCAGCTTGTGGGTTTGCAGCCTCTGCATTCATGCCAAGGGGGAGCGGCACCAAGAGCGGATCCTGCCTAGAGAGCCAAGAAGTGCAGGTCTGGTCCGAGGGCGCCGTCAGGCCCAGCCTGGTGGCTCGAGGGCAGGGCAGATCCTCTGCCTGCCAGCAAAATCTCTGGCAGGTCACAGTGGTGGGGGGGGGGGCCGAGGAGGGGCGTGCCAGAGCTGGGTTCTGGAGGAGCCCCTTCAGGTGTGACTGTGAGAGTCCTGCTGGCCCCGTCCTTTCCCGTTCCTCGTGTGGGGCTGGCGGGGACGTGCTCCGCCTCACCCTTCTCTTCCCTACCTGCCCTCTGCAGAAATGCCGGACGCCGCGCTCCGCCCTCTCTTGGGGAACCAGCTCCGGCAGCCCTGGCCGGATGTCAGCGAGCCTCCGCTAGAGCCGGCTGCCCAGACTGCCGTTTATGGGGCACATCCGTTCCTGAGCTTTGTGCCCTGCTCGGGATCCCACCGAAGCAACCAGCTGCCGGTATGGTGTCACCCGGGTCGTCGCATCAGGACGAAGGAGGCAGAGGAGGGGTGGTGGCAGCTGTTTCTCCGCACCAGAGGCGGGCGGGGGGGGGGGCCAGAGGGCTCAGACGCAGATGGGCAGACTGAGGTTGGGTTCCCAGGAGAGACATGCTCTGCACAGCAGGGGTACGATCTTCTCATGGCAAATCAGTCCCGAGTTAATGCCAGTTGTATCCTCTGGGAGAGGAGCAGGCCATCTTGCTGGGCGCAGGAGGAAGAGCATCATGGCATTAGAATAAGAAGTGGCGGTGAGCCCTCCATGCCAGCAACAGCCCCTGCATCGCAACAGTTTCCTTTCCCAAAGCTGACCAGCTCGGTAGCAGCAAACTTGCAGGTGAGGCTACCGGCCTCCTGCCTCAGCCCTTCCCACGCCGGCAGGCTCTTTGCAGCTGTCGGCCGGCTCCTGCTGGAAGCAGCCCTTTCTCCAGAGGGCCCAAGCCAGCTGCCTCGGAGTCCCACACACGAGCTGCCTGCAGAGCCCGCTCCCGCCCTCCCTCCCGCCAGCCCGTCTCTGCCTCTTGCTCCCCGCAGGAACTCCGAGTTGGTGCCCAGAAGGAGGGCGTGCTGCTGGAGAGCACTCAGCTGGCCACGGGCCGAGTCAGGCAGAGGCAAGGATGGTAAGAGAAGCGGCCTGAAATCTCCTGGGGGGCGAGGAGAAAGAGGCGAGTGGAAAGGATCCTGGGCCACAGAAGGCAAGCTTCTTGCACACGAGGAGGAAACAATGCCTCTGTGGGAAGTACCAGGCTGGATAAGGGCCTTGCGCCCTCCGTTGCTGCTTGCCTGCTCACTCAGGGCTGACCCCGCCAACACGTCCCGCCCCAGCCCCACCTGCGCTGCTGGCTCTGCCGCGCCTGCCTGCCTGGCCATGAGAGCTGCACTGCGGTTCCGGGCCGCGGTTCCTGGGCTGGCCGCACTGGGGTTGAACAGGTGCTGGGGCAGAGGGCTGGGCCTTGGAATCGGCAGCTGCATGGGAGAGGGAGCGGGGCACGAGGCCCCTGGGGGCCGCCCGGAGCCACACAAGAACCCAAGAGCCATCGCGTGGATGATGGAGCAGGGGCGCTCTCCGTCGCTCCAGAGGGCAGTGCCGGAGCCAGTGGGTCCAATTTCAAAGGTTCTGAAGAGCTTCTGGCTCACACAGGCATTCAGTGCAGGAACAGCAGCGATGCTTCTTCGCCTGAGGTCTGGGGTCACGAGAGGCAGGCAGCCGCAGATTTTCAGAATCAGCAGGGGGTGGTCTGGATGCAGGGAGGGGTCCCGTGTGGCTTGGTGGTCCTTGGCTCCCGCCCCAGGTTGCCATAGGAGGAGGCATGCCTGCTGCTGCTGGAGATGCAGGTGGAGGCTTGGGGGCTCCCCAGGGACGCCGAGGCAGCATCTTGGCCTGCAGGGCCTGCCTGGAGCCCAGCCTCCGAGGGTCCTTCCAGCCTGCGTTGCCGCACAGGGGCAGGCTCCCCATGGGGAGGGCTCCCTCCCGGGTCAAGCGGCTTCGATTTCAAACTGCAGCTGGTCTGCTGGAGCCTTCTGTGTCTCCAGGCCAAAGCACACTCACCTTTTAAAGGATGCTTTGTCTTCAAAAGATTTGTCTGGTGGATTTGTGACTGCTTTTGAAAAGATAGTTTCCTGAGAGGCTTTCAGAACACGCCAGCGAGCGCTCGTGCCGCCTCTCGTGCCAAGGCTCCAGGTTGTATCCATGTGTCCTGCAGGCTGGGGCCCAGTGTGCCCCTGGCTGGCTGGAGCCGAGCAGGCCCCCCGCCTCAGTTCCCTCCATTCCCGTCGGAGGGCAGGATCTACTCCCCGCAGAATGTCCTCCGAGCCCTGCGCCTCCTGGGGCACCAGCTCTGCCAGCTGCTCTGGAAGCCCGGCCCAGCCCGACTCAGGTGACTCCGTTCGGCTTTGCTCGGCCGGCGCAGGCCCTCCTGCCAGCGGGTGTGTGTGCCAGCTTGCCGTGCTGGGGCAGCCTCTGGGCTCAGCCCCGCCCCCGCCCCCCATCCCCACTGGCTGTGCTCATCAGCAGGTTTGCAGCTCCGCTTTTGCCACGTGGTGGATTTGCTTGCAGGGCAGACTCCCTGGGCGCCCCCCCCCCCAAAGCGGGAGAGTTTTGCCTGCCCCACTGTTCTGCTCTGGGTCCCACCTGAAATCGGGGAAATGTGCCAGGCGTCTGAGAGCTGGGTTGGCTGGCTTCTGCGTGGTGATCGCTAGGAACGCACTGCTCCTGAATGTCAGCTCGGCCTGCCTGGTGCCATCAGGCCGATTTGCCACGGTTCCACCTGCGCAGCACGCTATGCCATGGGCTGTAATTCACATGGACATGCATATGACATACACTTCAACCAAACACAATCGTGAGGGATCTTTTGATGCTAAACTTTGGGTGCCCAGGCAAACCTTTGCTTAGAGTGACCAACTTGAAAGATGTTGAGCCACGGTGATGTCCACCCTCTGGTAGGACATTAATGCAAGACAGAGACAGAGGAGGACAGCAAGGCGACCTGCAGCCAGTGGCACAGAAAAGGAGGTGTGTGCGTTCAAAAGAGGACAGTTTCGGTTTCTGGTGTGTGCATGTTCACAACAAAAAGAAGATGATTGGCGTGACACCTTGCCTCACAGTTTTAGCTCATAGCAAGGTGTGTGTGTGGCTGGTAAAGGAGAAGATGAGGGGACAGGCTAACATTTCAGCCTGATACAATTTGAATGTGGGACAGGAACGTTTGGAGAAAGGAATGAGGGCAAATGCAGGGTTTGGAAGAAAGTGCACAGACAGGCCTTAAAGAGCAACAGGGGCTCAAAAGTTTAAGTTTCTGGCAGTTGAAACGGGGTGGAATGTTAAGGAAAAAGCAGAAAAAGGTAATAGTTGGAGTAGAGACAGCTAAGAATAAAATAGAATATGAAGATGTACCTTTCCGTCTCATCTGGCTTGTGAAGTGCTGAGGAGCTCTGTTGACCTCTGGAATGGAAAGGGGTGTTTTTCCTGAGCAGAAAGTGTGAGGACCCACTTTGGATGAGGTGCGCCTCCTCGTGCCAACGCCGTCTCTCAGCTGCATGCATTTGGGTTGCCCCTTCTGTGCTCCTCTCAACCCTTAGTGGTGAATGTAGAATGGAACAAGTTCACCCTCCAGATTTGTACATGGCAGACAGAGAGCAAAGAAAGAGGACCAGGACTTCCTTTCCCCTTGGCAATGTGAGGAAAGGTGGGAATTGATGTGCAGTGCATACATTTGCATACATTTCTCTGGCCATCTGGGGTGCAGGTGAGTGAGACTGCCAAGGAGATTCGGGTAGTGTCTTGAACAAGACCAAAACGTCATGTTGGCACATATATTGGATGTCTAGGGCCTCACAGCTTCTAAAATGTGTTGATTTTTAATTTTTTCAGTTCATTTGGTTTAAAGAGGTTGCTTTGAAATCAGTGTGCAGTAGTGGTGGAAGGAAGATATTTGCAGGTGAACACAGAAGAATTCGGGCCATCAGCACACCAGGGCTGGAAGTCTGAGGATGGGCTGAGGTCTCGGCGTTTCAGTGGAACATGTGTTTCTGCTTTTCTCCAGCAGCAGCACCTCCCTCCGACTCCTTCCCAGTGTGGGCTCCTATGTCCCAAAGTAGCAGAATTTGGGTCTACTTGGTGTCTGGAGGAAGCCTCTGGGGAAAGGATGGACGCGGGATCCCGGCTGCAGTGGCTGGGCTTGTTCCCCACGGGCTGAGCCCGATTGCTCCGCAGGAGGGGTGGCCAGGTGGGCACAGGGTGGCTGCCCCCTCCGAGCGGGGGCTGCCCCGGGGTCACCTGCATGCCGCTCTGGCTGGCCCGCTGCTTGTGTCTGGGGAGCTGGGCGGTGTCTCCGGCTGCACAGCCCGTGCGCAGCGGATGCAGCGGTGGCTTGGCATGCGCTGGCATTGCACCGCTGCATGGCGGCCCTCGTGGGCATGGGGGGCAGCCTGCAGGGCCCGCTTAGCCTGCCGTGCTCCGTGGCGATGCCACTGCCAGGCTGCCCGCAGGTTCGGCGGCCAACCCAGGGGGCTTCCGAGCGCGGAACGGGGCTGGGGCTTTAGCCTCAGGCTGTGAAGTGCCACCTTCCCACCCGCCCTTCCCTGCCTGCGGCTCCTGCAGGCCCTGCCCGTGCGGTGCCTGCTCACGCCGAGCCCCCTCCCTTTCCTTTCTCCCGTCAGCGCCTGGGAGGCCAGCCCGGCCCTGGGAAGCTCCCTGGAGGACTTGGGTGCGGCAGAGATTTTGGTGATGAGGAAGCAGGTAGGGAGGAGGAGAACCCCGCGCGAGGCGCCGCCTCCTAGCCCTTCCCCTGCAGAGGCTGCGCTGCACCTGTGCGCATGGGGAGTGGGTGGCGGGGAGGGGGCTGGGTTGGGGTCTGTCCTCCTTCCTCCACCGGACTTGCCCCCTTGCTTTTCCCTCCTCCGAGGTGCAGCTGACGAGAATTTCTGGGCGGCTGCAGGTGCTGGAGGAGCAGCGCGTGGCCTGGCACCAGAAGGAGCTGCTGCTCTACTCGGCCTTGCTCTCCACCTGCCTGCTCAGCACATGGCTTTGGCTGAGGAGATGAGGAAGCCGACCTGCCCAACCGCCGGACAGGCCGCATGGGCAGCGGTGCTGTTGCGGCCTCCCTGCTCGTGGCCTTTGGCCTCCGTTGACCCCTGCTTAGATGCCCACGGACATAGCTGCTTTCGCAGTAGCACAAGAGGAGGTGGGCTGGGCAGGAAGGGATGTAAGAATGCGAGAAAAGCCACGCCGCTCAGCCTCAAGGTCCGTCTAGGCTAGAACAGCAGGCGGCTGGACCCCGCGGCCCCTTCCAGCTCCACTCTTCCGGGACTCCGTGCTCCCGGCGGCAAAGCAGCTGCCCCCAGGAGCCCTCCGGCGGGCGGGGTGCAAGGCCGCCTCCTGCCCGAGCCCCTCAGCGGCTGGGGTGTGCCAGCAGGCCACCTCTGGTGAAGGAGGGAGCCCACGGCCAGCCAGGCCAGGAGCCCCAGGCGGCCCCCTCCCTCAGGAGTCTGCCCCACCTTCCAGACTGGCGGCCATCGCCACCTCCCGTGGCCGTGGATGCCATCACTAGCCAGAACTTCAGGGGTCTTCAGGGGCGCCACCTGCTTCACTCGGGACTTGGCCAAAGGCCATTTGGGGCAGTGGCCGTGCCAGGCAGACCTGAGTGAGCAAAGCCGGGCTCCTCCAGAGAAACCCTGGGAGCAGGGATGCCACGGTGGGCTCGCCTCCGCCTAGGATGGAAGCCTGCGTGTGCCATCTGTCCGCAGCCCCTGCTTTTGGAAAGACCATGAGGCGGTTTGGCTTGGGTGGCCATGGCCGGGCTGGCAGCCTCTGCAGCAGTAGAGATGGGGCTGGGCTGCCCAGAGCGGTCACGCTTGTGGGGGGTTTGGCATGCAACTTGCCAGCAGGTGTTCGGCCAAGAGAGGAGACTGCTGTGGTGCCGTAGTGAAGCACGTGGGTTCGGAGTGCCTCGGGGGCTCCCTGTTAGAGCATCTCCCGGGAGCCTTTGTGCCTGGACCAGACGCTGCGAGGGCCAGGTGGCCCCCACGCTTGTTTGATCGTTAGATTTCTCCCTGCCCCGTTAGCCCACGGACTTGCATCTTGTTGGCGCTCCCATGAGCCCTAAATGCAAGCGAAGTCCTCCTCACGGTTGCGGCTGTTGTGTCCTGTGTGCCTTTCAGTGTTCGATCACTCCAGAGTGTCCGGAAACAAAATAAATGTCTGCTAACCCAAGCAGCCGGTGTGTGTTGGCCTGCCACAAATGCAGGGCAGAGTCCAGGGGTGCATGGGAGCGTGTGTCCGCCTGTTCCCCAGCTCACTTGGGCGCAGCACCACATGCGCGCTGCCCCGTGGCTTCAGCGGGGGAGCAGCAGCAAGTCCTCACAGAATCGTGGCGTAGCCATGAAGGCCATCGAGGCCGACCCCTGCTGTTGCCGGACGCCCCGTCAGCCCGTCTCCGCTCCCCGCACTCTGCCTCGAGGGGAAGCAGGGCACAGCTTGCCTGGGGAGGCTGTCCGCGGGGGGGTGGAGAGGGCCTCCCAGACGGGCGTCCGAAGAGTCCCGACTGGTCCTGCCACAGGCCTCAGCAGGCCACCATTTCCCACGGAGGCTAACCAAATGCCCACAGGGAGCCCAGTGCCAGGACGGGACTGCGCCAGCACCTCCTGGGTCTGTCCTCCCGGGACGTGGCTTCGGTGGCCTCCTGCCCCCACCTCCTGGGGGTGAATTCTGTGGCTGCGTGAAGAAGTCCTTCCCGTGGTTTGTCCGGGATCTTCCACCAGGCCGCTTCCCGGAGCAGCCCTTTCGGGCATCCAGTATGGGAGCGGGGGACGACCGCGCCCCCACCCCCGCTGTCCCCACGTGGGGCGAGGAGTGGCTGGCGGCTGAGCACGTGCAGGCGGGGGGTGCAAGGAGCGGGGAGCTGCCAGCCGGAGCAGGGATACCGGCAGGACTTGTTCGTGGCGAGGGCGAGCCCAGGCCTGATGTCGTCGGGTGTTGCATGGCTGAGAGAGAGAGAGACGCTAACTGAAACCGGTGTGCAGAAAGGAACAGTGAGCTGAGAGAAAGAAGGGCTGGCCAAAGCACGTTCAGGAGGAAAGGAGGACCTGTGAGTGAGGAGAATTTGGGGAGGGAGGGAGGGAGGGAGATCCCTAATTCAGGAGCTGCCATCAATACATCGGTCAATTCACCAAGGAAGCAAGTCACTGCACATCTTAAAACCAATAGGTTTATTGTATGGATAAAGTTCCATTTTGGTTACTGCTAACTCAGAGTCATAGGCTATTTGAATACATCCTCAAAACCACGTAGTTCAATGGATGAACCTTACAGCTTCGTTAACCTAAACCAGTCCATGTGCACAATGGCCAAAAGATGAGGGGAAGTTTTCTTTTTAAAGGTTCATTCTCAGAAACAATTGGCTGCCAACGAATCGTTCCAGGAGGCGTGCCTAAGCAGTCCTGGGGGCCACGTCGGGTCTCCCCGTCTGGGGACCGCCTTGCCTGGGGATCGCTCTCAGTAGAAGACCAAGAAAAGCGAGCTGATTGCAAGGCTGCTAATGGGGCTGGGCAGAACCGTCAGGGCAGAATGCGGACCATTTGGCGTGGCCTAGTCCCATCCCTCCACGAGGCTTGCGAAAAATTGTTCTAAAGTTGGGAGGGAAAGTCAGAGATGGAGGGGGTGGAGCATTATTTTGGAGATTTATTCATTTATTTAATGTATTTAGAATATTTATATGCAGTCCTGTTGTGAAGGCCTCAGGACAGCTTACATAAATAAATAAAACATAATATAAAACATAATACAAATGAATTTCAGATCCACCCTGGCTGCAGATTAAAAACATATATAACCAATATTAAAAATTATTAAAATATTGTTGGACTAAAAAGCTCTTAACCTGGCGCTGAAAAACAAATAGTGATGGTGCCAGGCGGGCCTCTCTGGGGAGCGCATTCCATAGTTGGGGTGCCACCTCAAAGAAGGCCCTCCTCCGGGTACTTTACCTCCTAACATCTTTCACAGAGGGTTCCCGGAGGAGGGCCTCTGCTGCCGATCTCGGGGCGGGCGGGCAAATATGGAAGAAGGCGTTCCTTTAGGTATCCAGGTCCCAAGCCATTAAGGGCTTTATAGGTAATAACCAGCACCTTAAATTGAGCCTGGGCTTCGATGGGAAGCCAATGGACCTGATAAGAGGACTGGGGTTATATGACAATAACGCCCAGTCCCCGTCAGCAGCCTGGCTGCTCCATTTTGCACCATCTGAAGTATCCAGACTGTCTTCAGGGGCAGCCCCACATAGAGCGCATTGCAGAAATCCAACCGGGAAGTAACCAATGCATGTGTCACTGTCGCTAGGCAATCGTCCTCCAGGTAGGGACGCAGCTGGTGGATTAACCGAAGCTGAAGGAAAGCGCTCCTCACCACCGCTGTCACCTGAGCTTCCAGGGACAGCTCTGGGTGGAGGAGCACTCCCAAGCTGCGGACCCTGTCCTTCAGAGGGAGTGCAACCCCATTCAGGACTAGGTCACCTACCCAGGAGCTCAAACCACCCACCAACAGGACCTCCGTCGTGTCTGGATTGAGTTCCAGTTTATTGGCCCTCATCCAGCCCATTACCTTGGCCAGGCACTGGTTCAGTACAGCCACTGCCTCTCCTGGATTTGTTGAAAAAGAGATGTAGAGCTGGGTGTCACCAGCATACTGATGACTCCACAGCCCAAACCTTCTGATAACCTCTCCCAGTGGTTTCATGTAGATACTGAATAGCAAGGGGGACCAAATGAACCCCTGCGGTACTCCATGGCATAGCTGCCATGGCACAGAGCCAAAGTCCCCCAGCACCACCTTCTGGAATTGGCCGTTGAGGTAGGAGCAGAACCACTGCCAAGCAGCGCCTCCTACTCCCAGACCCGCCAGCCTATGCAGAAGGATACCATGATCGATCATATCAAAAGCCGCTGAGAGGTCCAGGAGGACCAACAGGGACGCACTCCCCCTGTCCTTCTCCCTCCACAGGTCATCATACAGGGCGACCAAGGCAGATTCAGTACCGTACCCGGGTCTGAAGCTGGACTGAAATGGGTCCAGATAATCAGTTTCATCCAAGAGTGCTTGGAGTTGTCCCGCCACCACCCGCTCTAACACCTTGCCCAAGAACGGGATGTTGGCCACCAGTCTGCAATTGGCGGCCATCTCTGGATCCAGAGACACCTTCTTTAGGACAGGCCTGATTACCGCCTCCTTTAAAGGAGCGGGCACCCGGCCATCCCTCAGGCGTTAACGACCTCCAGGATCCAGTGTTTGGCTTTGGTCAGCAGCCACGATGGGCAAGGGTCAAGTAAGCAGGTGGTGGGACGTACTTGTCCAAGCACCTTGTCCACATCATCAGGCTGCAATAACTGAAATTCATCCAATAATATCTGAGCAGATGGAGTCATTGGCATCTCCCCTAAAGGATCTGAATCACTTGTGGAGTCCAGCTCGTGACGAATCTGAGCGATTTTCTCCTTAAAGAGCTGGACAAAGTCGTCACAGCAGGCCATCGAAGGTGGTACGGGATCTTTCTTAGGGCCAGGGTGTATCAGCCCATGTACCACTCGAAAGAGCTCTGCTGGATGGCACTGTGAGGAGGCAATGGAAGTGGCGAAGAAGAAATTCTTCTCCACTTCCATTG